GGGGAATTCTGGGAGTTGAAGTCCACACATCTTAAAGTTGCTGAGGTTGAGAAACCCTGGTACAGAATGTACATGAAGCAAGAGCTTAAACATTTGGACGCCTGAGTGTCAAAACTTCAATCTGTCTTCTGATAAGTGCAAGCTTTCTGATAGACCAGGTTTACTGTGGCAGGCGTTTTGTGAATCGCAAGCCTTTATGCCTGTGGCAGGAAGAGAAAGACCTCTGGTGCTAAGGAATTTTGTGCCTGTGCTTTTCAGGGCAAAGTCTCTGGGGCAAATTGTCATGGTTGCCAGAATTTTACAACTGAACTGGAAACATGGCACATCATTCATAATCCTTCTGAGTCTACTGAAAAATGTCTGCATTGTGGTTCCCCCACCACGGGAGCACAAGCATAGCACCTCTCTGCAGTTTTTTAAAGCAGCCATGTCTTTTCCTGAGATCGTGCAGCTGCCCTGCACAGCTGCTGGGGGATCCTAACAAAAGACACGGTTAGTTTAAAAGGTTGAGACTGGAGCTGTGCTTCTGTCTGTCATGGGTTTTGAAGACCCTTTTTGGAACTGCATCCATAGCACTGTAAAGCCTTCATACATTCATAAAAAAAAGGGGAGTCATTTTGATTTTTTTTTTACTATAAAATAAAATACAGGAACAATAATTACCAGTTCAAAATGTAAACAAAGAAATTGCTTTGTGTGCATGAATCGGTGGGCAGAGAAAGAGCAGACCAGCCACTACATGATGACCTACTCCACAATCTTATACTCATCTATGTACAGGTTTGTCTCATTAAGTTCACTGAGCTTGCTACTTGGCAAATCCTCAGCCCCTTCAGTGTAATCTACTATTACAACTGCAATTAAGTTTTGGTACTTGGTAGGTTGGATGGTTTACATCCCACTTTATCCATCCCACGCTCACCCAAGCAGGCTACTTGTTAAACCTTTTTTAGATCAGTGTTTTTTATAAAATTTGAATGCAGCTGCACAGTTGATTCCACCATATGAAAATGGAAGAAACAAAATTAAAAACGATACTTCGCCAAGGGTTATGGCTGCCTATTCCAAGTTCATCACCTCAGAAGAACCCCCTTGAGGTCTTGGCTGTATCCCAACCCATTCTTGGCCAAGAATATTGGAATTCTAAGCATTCTTCATGAGATGGGCGGTGTCCAAATTTGACAAATGAAGAAATAAATAGAATGAAGGAGAAAGCACTTCCTCCAGCAATGGGAATCCATCAGGATCTGTTTGGGTGCAGTCACAGCTGGTGTGATGGCTGCAGCTTAACGATAATTGCTGTGGGCCTCTGTGGGCAATCCTTGGGGATAAGAAAAGAGCAGGAAGGCACAATCTGCTCTGCTGTCTATGATCTTGTACAACCCTGGCTAGCCCCTGCTGAACAGATTCAGACTTTCCACAGCCAGCCCAGCCACTGACACACAGCAGAGCACGGCCTGATGTTCTTCAGAAGAACAGGCTAGCTTAGGAAGCACAGGCAAGCAAACCCAGCATACGTGTAACTCTTCCACGTGCAATTCAAAGTGCTGGTTGTTATCAATAAAACCCTTCATGCAATTGAGCCTGGTTATCTAAAGGACCATCAGTCTTCCATGGCTTCTGTCCAGCCTGTGTAATTGGGCAAAGTAGTCATGCTCAAGGTCATCCGTTAAGCAGTGTCTTCTGGTGGGACCTAGGAAGGATGTCTTCTCCATCATAGCACCTGGCTGTGGAACACCTTCTCCCCAAGATACATCTGTCCCCTACTTTGGCCGTGTTCGAAAAACCTCTGAAAACCTGGCACGTTCTCCAGGCTTTGGGTTAGAGGTGGTGGCAGCTTCTGTGTGTTTGATGTCTTTTAATGGTTATTTTTCTTCTGGTGTTGGGGGTGGGTTCAGGTTTATGTATGATTGTTTTACTGTACACTGCCCAGAGTCATTGTAGAGTTGAGCAACCTTATACATTTCTAAAATAAATAAATGAAAATGAAACACTGTTCTCTGACTTAAAGGCTTTGGCTGGGCTGCCTCAGCTGTTTCAACCACATATTACACCCACGGGCTGGGACAAGACAGTATGCAGGCTATTCAGCCCTGGCAGAATAAATCAAACTGGATTAAGTGGTTATTTTTGAGGCCACCAGTTCATCCATTCTGGGCTCACACATCCTCACACACAAGTTAAATATAGATTTCGAGTCAACTCTTAATTAGCTGAGTTCACACACAATGCTAAGCCATAAACTGGCTTGCAAACCAGAATTACTGGGCTCGTGCACATTAAACCAAACCATATTGTGGCTTGACACAATGTTTGAACCTGCTAGATTACTTTCTGTTGCAGAAGGAATTAGAATAAGCAAGACTGCTGTTTGCTGGGAGGAGTGTTCATTCTGGAAAACTGATTCGGCCTGGGCCACCTTGCCGAAAAAAGTCAGATACGCAGTTTGGGTATGTTTCTGGATTCCATGTGAGCAGGTGGGTGTACATCCATTTCTGGAAGAAAACAACCTAAATTAATGAAACTGAAGCTTGTGCTGATAATCTCCACTGCAGGACATTTTACATGGACTTCCTTTGTACATTCTTTAGACATTTAAGCTTGTCTAGAACTCAACTGCCAGCTGTGATCTCCAAGGCAGAGCAAAGACAACATTGCTTCCTTCCCTGTGGTTCTGCTTCCATGCAAAATGTTTAGCTTTCAAGATTGCCTACAGAACCCCCAGGGGCTCAGACTGAACAAAAGGCCCAGCTTTGGTTGCTGCTGAGTTTTTGGGCAATGGCTTAGGCTGGGCCATTTTATTTGGTGCCCTGGGCTTGAGAAGGTGCTCCCTCCATTCAAAAGGTCCTGATAATCTTTTTGGAGAATCTTACAGGATTTTTTTTAGAATTTAGATCATGTTATGGCCTCATAAGATGTTAGTCTGTGCAGGACTTTCGTCCATGGGCAAAAAAGTGCTTTTGAGTTCAGGGAAGAAATATAATTTGGGAAAGCACCTCGGACATGACCCTCCCTAGTTCTCATGAACAGGAAGGGGGAGGGGAGTGCATTCAGACTTCCAAGATTCTGGTACTGTAACCTTATAATAAAAGTAGTATTAGCTTGTATGTTCTGGATTCCAGATTTGGTTAGCCTTGAAGGAATGACACTGTCTTCTTATCTTCTGTCTCCTATGGTATTCCTTCAATACCATCCTTGCTTACCAACATCTAAATACTCTATTCTTTCTTGTGTCCCTATATGCAGGGACACAGGGTAAAATACATTAACTTGCCTTAGGAACAAATAAGTTGCCAGTGCAGATATTTCAACAATATGTCATCTGTGCAAGCTAACATTGAATGAAGTATGGATCCACCTAATAGCAATATTGTCCCACACTCATTTTACCAGCTTGTCAGCAGGAATATTATAGGAGAATCTGCTGAGTCCTTTGCTGAAATCAAGATATACTATGTCTACCCTGTTTTCATTATCTATCTATCTATCTATCTATCTATCTATCTATCTATCTATCTATCTATCTACAAGAAGAGAGCATGGATGTTAAGTCTGTGTTTCCTAGTGAATAATACATGGTTGTCTTGCTGCTCATTGATTGAATTGTTGCACATGTTGCACTAAGGTTTGGCTTGTTTAACTATGGTTAATGGAATAAACCATAATTTGCCAGGTAAATATAACACACTAAGCTGTAAACCATGGCTTAGAGTGGCTGGATTCACACATCACACTACACTGAAGCCAAGCAAACAACATTATGCCCCAGCATATTGTTGGAAAGAGGTTGTGGAGCACTTAAGAACCTGTTCTAGAATGTGGCCCAGTATGAGGAAGATCTAACAGTTATATTGCCCAACAACCAAGTATCAGCCTAAACATTTGGTAAGGTAGATGGCTCTTCCTCAGACTGAAGTGTGTTTGCTAGTGGTGAAGTTTTCTAAGAACCTTTATGGAAGATCTCCAGAACTGGAATGGTTGTGAATAGACCACTGGCTGCAGATTCTGAGCAGGAACAGTAGAAAGGCAAGATTAAATGCACAGGAGACATTTTAGTTGGAAACAATTCTGGCAATGGAGCTTCTGAATAAAAGGAAGTCGAGTCGCAAGAGGATGCCTGGTGTGGAAATCAAGTCTCATTTCCAGCCCGCCTTTGCATTGCTGGGGATTTGTTCTGACAGCCACACAATTGTTCAGGGAATATGCTTGTCTCGCCCCATCTATCCTCAGGGCTGTCACGCGCTAGAGAAAGACATGCTTCAGAGGAAGCAACATGGTTACATAACAGGAAGATGGAGGAAGAAAGGTGCCTTTGGCCAGCGAAAGGAGATGACATAGCTACTCCTGGAGCTGCCTTTGCAAAATGTAAATGCTGTGGCTCCTTCAATGCTTCTTAATTCTTGCCGTTCCGTGCAATCGTTCTCAAACAGGGTTTCAGGGCTTCTTTGCATACAGCATCCTGTTGTTTTCTGGGAAAGGCTTTGCGCGGAGAGCAGCTGCATGAGCGCACTTGAACACCCAAAACAGACTGTTTCTGTTGAGAGAAACATCCTTCTTGAGGGAGACAAAGACAGCTGCCAGCAAAGGCACCGTCCTGTCTTGAACATCTGCCTCCCTTTCAGAGGCAGGCTTCCTGGGTCTTTAACGGCACCATCATCCCCTGGGGGTGAGAGGTGCTGCGGTAGCCAGAGGCCAAAGGAAGAACACCCAACATCTGGAACAACTTCTT